CTTTCTTTCTTTCTTTCTTTCTTTCTTTCTTTCTTTCTTTCTTTCTTTCTTTCTTTCTTTCTATCTTTCTTTCTTTCTTTCTTTCTTTCTTTCTTCATTCATTCATTCATTCATCCATTTATTTATTTATTAGATTTCTATCCTACCCTTTTAGACAAAGTCTATTACCTTGTAGATGTTCTGGATTTTGGAGCTATTGCAACCTCACATTCTGCCGTTAAAGGTTTGGCTTGGAGGGACCTTTCTGGGTTGAGGTGACTATAAATCTATCTAGCACTAAACAGTTATTCCTTCCCTGTCTCTCCCTTCGATGTATTTTCTCTCTCTCTCTCTCTCTCTCTCTTTTGTCTGTTGAAGCCTGTTACTCAAAGCAGTTATGTTTTAGTTTTGCTCTAGCTCTGTAAAACTGTAACATGCTTTATTCTTTCTCTTATTAATCTCGTAGTTACAGTAATTGAGACTGTAAATGCAAATTAATGAGAAAAAAGGAGCAGGCTACTATGAAGAAGTTGAAGCTAATTCTGTTCTTTGAATCCTGCAATTCTGAATTTAACTAAAATTCTAAACTCTGAATTACAACATTGGATTACGACATTCACCATATCTACTGTAGGCCATGGTGGCTGTGGTTTATGGGGTGTTGTGATCCAAAACATCTGCGGGTGCCAGGTTGCCTTCCCTGCCCCTAAAACAGGAAAAATCAACTGACTGGTAAAGGAATAGGTACACTGCACCATTTTGGCTTTTTGCTCAGAAAGCAATTTTTTAAATTGTGTTTGTGTGATACTGAAGTTTGAGCTGGGTCAAATTTCAAGGCAGCCTTTTTCACCGCTCTACAAAAATAGCTGAGCTTAAGAAGCTGAGTAAGAATATAAAGAACAACTGTGTGTAGGGGTGTATATTTGTATATGTATATTTCATTTTTCGCTGCCACAACTACACCTGTACAGTTGTCCACCAGAGTTCTTTCAAGTGGTCAAGGGCCTATTACATCAAGGCCCAAAGGAAGAGAATGCAGACCACATTATAGCTGGCTATAAAGAATAATTTGCACAAAACTTCACAGGCAAAATTATTCAGCTCCACTCTGACTTGTCTGCTGTAGCTGATACAAGTTACTGTACTATATGAATATAACTTTAGCCCATTCTTGCGCTCTGTTAATGGATGAGTTTCAGTTTCTCCCACCTGATGATGTGGACAGGACCCCTGGAGAGGGGAAAGCCACCACATAGGTCCTGGACCCTTGCCCTCCCTAGCCTATGAAAGCTGCCAGAAAGGAACTGGTTAAGTAGGGAGGAGGAGGACTCCTTGCAACAAGGTAGGGTCCCAGCATGCTTAGAAAGAGGCAATAGGAAGATCATTGTTGAAAAAGCCCTCCTTGGATCCCACAATACTGAACAATTACCAGCCAGTCTCTAATATTCCATTCTTGGGCCAGGTGCTAGAGTGGGTTGTGGCCTCTCAGCTCCAGATGTTTCTGGATGAGACGGATTGTCTAGATCCATTTCAAGCTGGCTTCAGGCCTGGTTATGGGCAGATATTGCTTTGGTCGCCTTGGTGGATGACCTATGCCAGGAACTGGATGTGAGAGTGTATCCCTGTTGGTTCTGCTGGACCTCCCAGCAGCTTTCAGTACCATCAACCATAGTATCCTTCTGGATTACCTTTCTGGGATGGGACTAGGAGACTCTGGTCCATGGTGGTTCCAGTCCTTCCTAAAGGAGATAACTCAGAAGGTGATGCTAGGAAATCTCTGTTTGACACCCTGGCTGCTGGCCTGGAGGGTCCTTTAATGTTCTGTTCTGTCTCCTATGTTATTTAACATCCATATGGGAGAGGTTGTCCAGAGTTTGGAAGTTCACTGTCACCATTATGTAGATGACACTCAACTCTACCTCTCCTTGCCATCAAAATCTGAGGAAGTCGTTTCACTTCTAGCTCAGTGTCTAAATATCAGTAATGGACGATGAGGATGAATTAACTGACAAGAAAGAGGTGGAGATCAGTCAAATTTCAAGGCAGCCTTTTTCACCGCTCTACAAAAATAGCTGAGCTTAAGAAGCTGAGTAAGAATATAAAGAACAACTGTGTGTAGGGGTGTATATTTGTATATGTATATTTCATTTTTCGCTGCCACAACTACACCTGTACAGTTGTCCACCAGAGTTCTTTCAAGTGGTCAAGGGCCTATTACATCAAGGCCCAAAGGAAGAGAATGCAGACCACATTATAGCTGGCTATAAAGAATAATTTGCACAAAACTTCACAGGCAAAATTATTCAGCTCCACTCTGACTTGTCTGCTGTAGCTGATACAAGTTACTATATGAATATAGCCCATTCTTGCCCTCTGTTAATGGATGAGTTTCAGTTTCTGCCACCTGATGACGTGGACAGGACCCCTGGAGAGGTGAAAGCCACCACATAGGTCCTGGAACCTTGCCCTCCCTAGCCTATTAAAGCTGCCAGAAAGGAACTGGTTAAGTAGGGAGGAGGAGGACTCCTTGCAACAAGGTAGGGTCCCAGCATGCTTAGAAAAAGGCAATAGGAAGATCATTTTTGAAAAAGCCCTCCTTGGATCCCACAATACTGAACAATTACGGGCCAGTCTCTAATATTCCATTTTTGGGCCAGGTGCTAGAGTGGGTTGTGGCCTCTCAGCTCCAAATGTTTCTGGATGAGACGGATTATCTAGATCCATTTCAAGCTGGGTTCAGGCCTGGTTATGGACAAATATTGCTTTGGTCGCCTTGGTGGGCAACCTACACCAGGAACTGGATGTGAGAGTGTATCCCTGTTGGTTCTGCTGGACCTCCCAGCAGCTTTCAATACCATCAACCATAGTATCCTTCTGGATCACCTTTCTGGGATGGGACTAGGAGACTCTGGTCCGTGGTGGTTCCAGTCCTTCCTAAAGGAGAGAACTCAGAAGGTGGTGCTAGGAGATCTCTGACACCCTGGCTGCTGGCCTGGAGGGTCCATTAAGGTTCTGTTCTGTCTCCTATGTTATTTAACATCTATATGGGAGAGGTTGTCCAGAGTTTGGAAGTTCACTGTCACCATTATGTAGATGACACTCAACTCTACCTCTCCTTGCCATCAAAATCTGAGGAAGTCGTTTCACTTCTAGCTCAGTGTCTAATATCAGTAATGGACTGGATGAGGGTGAATAAACTGACAAGAAAGAGGTGCTCCTGGTCAGGCAACAGGTAGATTAAAGAACAGAGATACAGTCTATGATGGATGGGCTACATTTCCTCTGAAAACATGGGTGCACAGTAGAGATGGGGGTATTCGTTTTTGAATATCCCCCCCCCACAGGTGGAAATAACGTCCACTCATGATTTTGCTGCTGTCACCAGCTCCACAGAGACTTCCTATTGCACCATTCTCCACAATGGATTTAGCCACTCTGTGACCTGTCATCCCACCTCCTGCCAGGACTGGGTAATTGATTGCGGACAAAGGCGTGATAGGAAGGTCCAACAAGCCCGTGTCATTGGCGAAAGAATATCCCCATCTCTAGTGCACAGCTTGGGGGTGTCCCTGGATTCATCTCTGAGCCTGGATGCCCAGGTTTTGGCAATGGGCAGGACTGCATTTGCAGAATTAGAATTAGTGCATCAGCCGCACAAGTTCCTGGAGAAGTCACAGTGGATCTGGCCACAGTGACATATGCCTTAGTTATATCCTGGCTAGATTACTATAACACACTGTATGTTGGGCTGCCAATGGAACGTGTCAGGAAACCTCACGCGGGTCCAAAATGCAACAGCCATATTGCTGACTGGGGATGGTTACAGAGATCACATAACCTGCACATTACTGCAGCTCCACTAGCTGTTGATCTGTTACGCAACTGGGCACAATTCATATAGGTTTTAACCTATAAAGTCCTAAATGGCCTGGGTCCAAGCTATCTCAAAGACCATGTCTCCCAATTTGAGTTGGGTCAGGTGTTAAGATCATCAGGAGAAGCCTTTCTCTCTGTCCCGCCACCTTCACGAGTGGGAACACAGGAGGGAGCCTTTTCTGTTGCTGCTCCCAGACTTTGGAACTCCTTTCCACAGGAAGCCAGGATTTCCTTCTGCAAGAGGCAAAGTCCTTTCTTTTCAGGCAAACTTTCTCTCATTGAATGGCTGCATAAGTGGAATTTTTAAATGGATTGTTATGCCTTACTGCTTTGAATGTGTTTTTACTATTGCTTTTGTTTACCATTTCTCACAGTAGTATTTATTTGTTCTTTTTAAATATTTGCATACTTATTTTTTTAGCTTTAAATATTGTCTTTTAATGATGTAAGCCACCTTGGCTCCTATTTAAGGAGAAAGGCAAGGTAAAAATATTTTAAATAAATACATATGTATATGTATATTTATAAAAAATTAATAACCAAAAAGTGTTTTAGAATTAGATACATTTGTGAGATTCCATTCAGTTAAGTCTGTTGTGAATGCCAAGAAACCTGTCTGTTATGAATCATAATAAGCTGGGAGCTAGAACTGTGAAGTTTGGCTATTTGAGTTCATGGGTATGCTTTTCACAAATCAGATTTATTTGGAATCAAGCCTATTTAGGATTATGAATATTGCCAAAAGACTTCTGTTGCTTTTATCTCTGAAGCAGTTGCTTGGGGAAAACAAAATATCAAGAACAGTAAGATATAAAAAAGGAAACATCCGTACATTTACAATTAAAGGATTAATTCCAACTGTTTTTCTGTCTCAGACAGAAGCATATAGTACAGTTTCACTATCTCAAGGACAGACATAGAGGAACACTGGACTGAGATTCCTTCCATGCCAGAAACTGCTTTCATATGGTGAACTTAGCAATCTTGGAAGAAAGACTATCCTTTTGATTCACAAGGCTACTTTACTGCATAGAGTGGAGGAAATAAAATGAAGCTACCTCACATAAGCATATCCCACTCTGTGGCCCCCTCCGATTAAGGATATCAGGATGTTTGAAGAATATGATTTCACCTGTCTTAAACTCCGGATCAAATCGTCTTCTTCCACAGTAATACGTTTCGCATAACAGAATGTCAGCAGAAGAGAGATTTGGCGAGTATGGCACCAATATGTGGTAGGATGACCTGGCATCCAAGAGGGTAAGAGCCTGTTTCAAAACAACATGATTAGAATAGATGAAGGAGTAAAACTGTAACCCGGTTCACAAACTGATGTGTGTCACTCAATTTTTTAGAAAAAAATATGTTAGTATCCTGCATGCAGTCTGCAAGAGCCCTGTATGGGGGGGGAGGGTGTGGCTTCAAACTCCTCTTCAGCCAGTTGCTTGGAATTTATCACCCAACTCTTTGAACAAAGGGCTGCCGAGCACTCTGAACCCTCTTGATTTCCCCCTTCTGCCTTCTTTTTGAAACTCAAAGAATAGGGTTTGAAGCCACACCCTCCCTGCACAGGGCTCATGCAGACTGCAGATAGTTCCATCTAAGAAGCTAAAGCTGGCCCCAACAATGGCCAGAAGACTTTGAGTCTTTAATAAAAGCATATAATTTAGGAACTACCCACAAGATCTTGGTGCACAGCCTGAAGAAGATGAATTCTCATTGAAAGCTCGCTGTTCATTTTTTGTTGTTTTTGTTTCTGTGGTCCAATAAAGGTATCACCTGTACCTGCACTGTATTGTTTTGGGGACCATGCAGCCTTTTCCTGATTTTTCCATCTCTAATCAGGGAGGCTAGGAGAGGGGAAAGACGCAGGTGGCCTTCAATCAGGAAGGTGGGACATCTCAATCACAGAAACAGTAAAGGGTAGCTAAAGACCTTGTGATACCATTTAGGCATTTAGCACTTTTATATAGTTTTACAAAGGAATATCAACATCAATCATAATTAAACAATTTCTTTACCATAACAACCTTTCAAAAATCAACAGTTTATTAAAGAAAAAAACTCCATAGAGCTGAAGAAGTGAGGTGACAGCTGTGCTGTTGATTTTTGGTAATGGATCATGCTGCTTCCCCCCCCCCGAAAAAAAATAAAAAGACCCACATATTAGAATTTAATTTCTGGGGGATTTTGGTGAGCTAAATACCATCTGCAGGTGATATGACACACAATCACCCTCTGATAAATACTGTATATAATAAAGAATTGTTGCTTTTCAATTTGATTCTGAGACCATCTTTAGAAGAAGCATTTCCTGATTCAAATTATGTTATCGTTGTCAATTGTTATATTATCAACAACATCTGACATAAAAGGCTACAGTATTATAGTAGGACCTCCATATCTGCGAATGTTTGAAACCAAGGATAGTAGCAAACCCTATACACAAGACACAAAGAGGTAGAGCAAAGGCCATAAGGACTGTATTCTTGTATTTATATATAGGGCTGTGGTAAATATGGATAACTGAAACCATGGAAACTAATCTGATGGATACAGAGGCCATGTTATATCAGCAAAAATTTTATCAGCATAGTAGTTATGTAAAAAGTAGAGATGGTCATGAGTTTGGCAGTTTGGCTCATGTTTGTTTCCTGGCCAAACAGCTGATCAGCGCCTTGTGGAGGCAGAGCAGTGTGTTGCCACTGAGTGAGTGCACACTGGAGAGGGTGGAGCATCCCAGCTGTTTGGCTGGGAAATGAACACCACCAAACCACCAAACCAGTGGATTGTGTCCATCTCTAATAAAGAACTTTCAGATTAGCTGAGGCATGTATAATAGAAGGACGGATAAATCATCAAGGAAAAGTAAAACTGAGTGGCCAATACTTCTAGGGCAAAAGTCAGAAGGGCTGAAATTCAGAATGAATTCAGTCCTGCAGGAAAGGTTTAAAATAATAAAAATGAACTTTTGTCAGCTATACATGAAACAAGGGGAAGAACAAGGAAAAGGATAAGTCTGCTCTTCGGAAAGGATGGAGAAATGCTAATGGGAGACAGAAAGAAGGTAGAACTGCTCATCACCACCATCTATGCACACATCCAAAGGGAGGCCATACCATAGGGATGGAGTTACCATGGAAACGACTCCGTACGCTAGCCTGGACATTACCAAGACATGGATGACGGTAGCAAGATCTGTTTTCTCCAGTAGATGTGCAGCTGGTGTTTTAAGCCAAAGCTGATAAAGTAGTTCTGGTACCTACATCTCTAAAGATAGCACTGAGTCCAGGAGAACCACCAGTTTACACATTTGATATTTCAGAGTGAATGAAACCTTATTCGATATCAACCCCAAATCTTCATCCACAGAAATGTATTTCTCCACCCACAGCACTTCTGTTGTATCTGGATCAAAACTTCACTAGTTCAGCTTCATGTGGAGGTTAAAGAGCATAAGGCACGGAATAGAACTCTGAGACAACACAAAGGCCAATGGCACTGCAGAGTCTTGCAGAATTATTGTCCTTCCAGATAAACAGGCACTATCACATTATGCCCCCTAAGTGTCTCAGAAGAATACCATGGCTGATGGTATTAATGGGTGTTGAGAAGCTGAGGCACATTATGAGGATTTTATTCTCTTTTTCCCAGTATAAGTTGCCAATGAGGACAACTCAGGTTGTTTCAGTGCCAAACCAGGATTGAAAACAGATTGACTTGTGAGTAGAAATTAATCAGCTGACAGATTTAGATATAAGATCCTTTGAGGAAATAGCACTGTCAAATACTTCATAGTGACCATTATTTCATATTTCCATTATTTCATAAGTTTCTAAGTTCTTGCAGTTTACTGAAGGATTCTTCCGCTGTATAATAGTGCAGTGGGGGACCTTTATTCAGTAGTTTATGAGTGGGGAAGAGTAGGAAAAAAGGTAGTGTACATACCATAATTCTGGCATCTGTGCATTTAATCCCTCCCAGCTGTACAAATTCAAAACAGCCAGCCAAATTTTACCATAGTAGACAATTCCAATAGCACCACCTAAAGAACAGAATTATCAGAGTCTCAAATATGAATAAGGGAGAGGTCTGTCCACTCACATTGAAACCACACAATGCATGACTTTCAGCCTAGATTCTTATAGTGGTAGATATAACATCACCCTTCTTCTGCATTTAAATTTAACCTCTATGTGAGTTCTGTTAAAAACGGCTTCCCCCCCACCTGGAATCCAGCTGCCTGGAATCCAGCTACAGAAACACATTGACATAAGTACACTGGCGTAAATTTGAGCTGGGAATTGTTGCTAGTTAAGAAGCTAAGGTAAGCATTTTTTGTCACACACCAAATCATGTGACTGGTGAGCAACACCAAATGTCTATACCAATTTCTTATCTAGTGGGGATTCATTGCTGAGATTCATGTCAACAGACTTATACCAGCAAGCATAAGTAACAGAACTCTAGCCTATGTTTCCTTTTACCTCGTGACCCACAGCTACTATTTACATCAGGGCTGAGCAAAAGAGAGATCATAATCTGCTGGTAAATCACGGAATGATTCTCAGTCAATCAGCAAAGATTTCTGACTTCTAATAGTTAAACAATAACAGCATCATTAGAATAGTCAACAGAGCAATCCAAACTCAAAGATACACCACCTGGGGTGGGTTTGTCACAACATCCCTTGTGCTGGCACAACTGGATCTGCCAGTAAAACTGCTGTGCTGGCTGAGATCTGCCAGCAGAAGAGATAAAAAGGAGAAAGAATAGGGGAGGAGTGGAGGAAGGGTTCAGTTACATCAGAGCCAAACTTGTCTCAGCTCAGATGTACAACCACTCTGCCAGCACAAAATGAGGCTAAGGTCAGGTTAGTCTGAAGTAATTTCCAGCATGCCTAGCTTGAGAGAGGTTTGGATTCAGCACAGCCACGGCCTTAAGCCATCTTGACCAACTAGAACTACATCCTAAATTACGCTGAAGAAATAAAAAAAACTTGGGGTAAAGAGAAGTCAGTGTGTGTGTGTGTGTGTGTCTGTGTCTGTGTATGTGTATGTGTGTCTGTGTGTGTGTGTGTGTGTGTGTGTGTATGTGTGTGTGTGTGTGTGCATGAGAGTGAAGGAATTCATCCAGTACTGAACAAATGCAGTGTATGTCTTTTCTGTCAAGCTCCAATTGGTGGATTCCAGGAATCTGCTAACAAGTGAAGTAGGTCTCAAAAGCCTGAAATCTGTCCATACTTCAGTACCAAAAATTTTTATTTTTACACCTATGAAAATAATACTTCTATCATGTACAGACTGTACTATATAGCGTCACATAAACATATGGGCACTAACACTATACTGTAGATACTTTGTTTTAAATTTTAACGGAAGACAAGGGAAGAGATGTCTAAGAACGTTTTGTCAAAATATAGGAACAGCCACCCTGTTCAGACATGCAGGGAATTCTTAAAAGATCCAGTTTAAAAAGGCAAAATAGTCATTTGCTCCATACTATGCTGCTCTGAATAAGGATATGGGGTGGGGGAGAGATCTTGGACCATACTTGTCATACTCTAGGACTCTACTCTGTTGCCTAGAGTTTTCTGGCTTAACAGCTTACCTTTCTTATGGAGACAGATGCGGGCCCGCACTATATCTGGGTGGTCAGGTCCAAGCCCAAGCATGCGCATAGCGATATAGTTGAAGACCGTTCCACTGATTGTGGAATCTTCTTTGAGATGGCTAATACATAGAAGCAATCAAAGAATCATCAGAAAAAATATCACTGTGTCTGGATGCTTCAGAATCTCTTTGATTTTGACAGTATTCTGTCTGTTCTTCTATAACATTACATTCCTTTAAAAAATCTGCCTCAGATTTCACCTGTCCACATACCCAGCTGTATAGCTATTAGCCTGGACACCACACACCACATGTCTATTTGCTTTAAAAGCCATCCCATAGCAGAGGACATGTACATTTTCAGAAGAGGTTTGGGACCGACTAGCATAATTCATACGTTAGGTAAATATCATTGAAATCCTGTTCACACAACTATACTCATGGAAAGCTGATAGTACAATATTTTAAAAATCCTATTTCTGTCCCATGTCTCCCATGCCATCCTTTTCAGTCTGCATAAACTGCAGAGAAGAAGGGAAGTGTCCATAAATCAGTCCTGAGAATGACTTCATCAGCCTTCTGTGAACACAGTGGTGTGAACAGAATTTCAGCCATTAAAACAAACGAAAGTCATCTTATGATACCTGTTCTGAATTCAGATCCAAAATGAAGTCAGGCGTAAACAAGTATGATTATGTTGTTGAAGTATGTTTGCAATGTTAGTGGTTCTCCTATAGATCTGAAGGAGTAAACCATGGAATGGGGGACATTTCTTGTGGACAGCATGTTTCAAAATAACAACTATGTCAGAAAAGATTTACTCACTGTAAGAATTGCCACAATGGGGCAGCTTCAGAAGATACTGAATACAATTTGCATTTTATTCATCTACCTTACTTTCTAATCTACATAGTGAGAGTTTTTCAAAGGAGTGGCTCACTGTCTGGTGAAAACTGTATGTGTATATAAAATACCCACATTTGGTCAGTCAGTTATGTATGCATCATTCAGTAACTAGAATTTTCTAACTAACATACAAGGTAAAAAGAAATGAAAAATCATACTTAAAATTAAGAGGAATTATAATTCTTGTGGTGAGAGACATGACCTGGAAATTATAAGGAATTATCCCCAGCATAGTAACAATATATGCCTATACTGCATTTTTATTTCACTTACCTACCCCAGCCGCCATCTGGAAGTTGTTTTGAGAGTATATAGCGCAATAGCTCTTTATTGACTGCTTCGGGCAGTGAGATCTTGGCAGCATAGCATGCAAACAAGATAGCTGTTTCAAAACAGAGACCATGTATAAATAATTTCAAGAGAAAGGGAGTTGCCAGTAAATTGTCTTATTAACTATTTGTTGTCAAGTCACCTCTGATTTATGGAAATTCTATCAATAAGCAATCTCCAAAATGTCATGTCCTCAAGTTGCCCTCCTCAACTCAAGCCTTCCTTTGGGAATATCAACCCATTTCTTATTTTGTCTTCCTTTTGTCCTGCTGCCTTCCACATTTCCCAGCATTATGGTCTTTTCTAGAGAATCCTGCCTTCTCATGATGTGCCCAAAGAAGGAAAGCCTCAGTTTCAAGATTTTTGCCTCCAGACATAATTCAGACTTTATTTGATCCAGGACCCACCTGATTATTTTTCTTGCTATCCCCAGTATCCACAAAGCTATCTTTCAGCACCACGTTTCAAATAAATCATTTTTTTCTGACAGCTTTTTTGTTTGTTTTTTTACTGTCCAGCTTTCACACCAATACATGGTGACTGAAAATACAAGAGTGTGGTTATCTCGGTCTTCATATCCCATCTCACACTCTTACATTTGATGATCTTTTCTAGTTTCCTTCATTGTTGCCCTTCTGAACCTCAGCCTTCTTGATTCCTTGGCTGCTGTCTCCATTTGTATCCGATATACGGTATACAAAATCTCGTAACTATTTCAGTCTCTTAATTGTAAATGCTAGTGTTGTATGATTCTGTTGTCATTATTTTGGTCTACTTAATCTTCATTTGCAGTCCTGGTTTGGAAATTTCTTTTTTCACTTTCACTGCTTTGGCATCCTTCAGTCTCGAGAGACTATGGTAACGTGCTCTGTATGGAGGACTTGGAACACCATCTAGTGTGGCTGAAAAGGCCAATTCAAGAGTGACAATCCCTTCCACAATGAGGACAAATATCTGTCCCCTGTCCAGTTCCCTGATTTTGCTGCTTCCGGGACTGCCTCTTTGCCTCGGCCTGCTGGACAAGGGTCTCTTCAAATTGGGAGAGGCCGTGATGCACCACTTGCCTCCAGGCTGAACGCTCCGATGTCAGGGTTTCCCATCTGTTGAGGTCCATTCCTAAGGCCTTCAGATCCCGCTTGCAGATATCCTTGTATCGCAGCTGTGATCTCCCTCTGGGGCGATTTCCCTGCACTAATTCTCCATATAGATCTTTTAGAATCTGACCACCAGCCATTCTCACAACACTAAAAGAGAATTAAAATTGCTGCTTTCTGCCAGTAAGATGGTGTCATCTGCATCTTTTAAATTACTGATGTTTCTTCCACCAATTTTCAATCCTCTGTCATATGAATCCATTCTGGCTTGCCATATGACATATTCTGTATACGGATTGAACAAATAAGGGGATAAAATGCACCCTTATCTGACACCTTTGCCTATAAGAAGTCATTCTGTCTCTCCATATTTTGCCCTAATGGTAGCTTTGTGTCCGCAATACAAGGTACATATAAGGACAATCGAGTGCTGAGGCACATTCAGAACAATCCATAGTTTCTTATGACCTATCATAGTTTCTCAAAGTTCTCAATCCATCGTTTCTCAATATCAGATTCTTCACTGTAGTCTATATAGCACAGACTTTTTTTGCTGAAACTCTTTGATGTACTCCGTAGCAAGCAGTGCCTCTTCCTTTTCAAAATCCACTTGAACATCAGGAACTTCTCACTCCTTATAAGGTGAAAGACTTTCTTGGAATAACTTGACCATCACTTTGCTTATATGGGAAACTAAAACAATGGTCCAATAATTACTGTACTCCCTGGCGTCTTCTTTCTCAGGAATTTGAATATATATTAAGTGTTTCCAGTCTGTGGGCCATTGTTTCGTTTTCCATATTTGCTGGCTTATTCTTGTTAAGATTTTGACCGATTCAATCACTGTGGCTTGAAATATCTCTCAATAACAATGGATATATATATGAATGGCTAAGTTCTACTTCCATTTTTCAGTTTACTTACCAACTTATCTATTCAGTTCAGGCAAATGAACATTGTTTGAGCCCCTTTGTGAAAGCAATTCACTAATGCTAATTCAAATTTTCTTTCATTTCTCTCTGCACAGTTGAGTGATGGAATGCAGTTTACAACTGGAAAAACCCATTCTTAATGCAAGTGTTCAAGACTTCAGTTCATGCTGTCTTTTGCTATTGTCAGATATGAATAGGCAGAGACTTCAGAAGCTCTGGAAATAACCCCTTTTAAACCTGATATATGTGAGGTTTTAAAAATGTATTAGAATTTAATGTAAAAAATGGACATAATCTAGTTCATTGAAGGAGCAGGCCCTGCGTATAGATGATAACTTCTTCACACAGATTTCTGTTTCTGTTCCCATATCCCTCCACACACCTATTATGCATGTAGGATCAGGGATTATTGCAGGATATGGTAGACTGATAACCCCTATTCTCTTGAAATGCCCAGGTAGGACTGTCAGACATATATCAGACATATATTGGTATCTGACATATCTTTTGACAGGTGCAAACTGCTTCCCAAAGCCAATTTGATTATACAATGTGTTTATGTTTCTTAGTTTCTACAGAGACTATGGCTATGACAATCAGTTTATCTTTTTATATGGAAGATAGTAGGTTAGATGTTACCTTGGGTATTAAATTTTGTTTTAAGAAGAATTTTAGTTTGTGTTATTTGATAATTAACTAAGATAATCAATCAATTAATTAGTTAAATGATACATTATACCATGTTTAAATATACTTGTTCAGTATTATTCTGTTTGGCTCTATGATTGTACTCATGGCAAATATGATATAACTGGTGCCTCTGTGTGTGTGTGTGTGTGTGTGTGTGTGTGTGTGTGTGTGTGTGTGTACGTGTGTGTGTACGTGTGTGTACGTGTGTGTGCATGTTAATTATTTTAAATCAATTAGCAATGCTGAGAAGGAAGCAGATTCCTGCAAGATAACTCAAGGAAAGTTGGACTGCTTTAAAGAAGATACTCATCTTGGGTTATGCAAATAGGCATGGAGGTGGGGAATGACAATTTTATAGGCCACAGTCATAAGCCCCACCAAAACCCAGGGCACAAGAAAAATGTTTCTGGCATGAGTTTTCATAAGCAAATGTTTATCTCAAAAACATGATTCTGATGGTTTTATTGCCTTTTTAATTGGAATTTTGTTTTATCATTATGCAAATAACCCTAAGCCAAGGAAAGGCAACTAAGAGTATTTCAGATTAAAATCTAATATAAACACATTCAGTACACTTTACAATGGAATGCATGGATCCCTGCAAATGCATAATTCAGATACACAGAATCCTTGCTATTGTTTCCAGTACTGGAATGGCCTTAGCCAGGCACTAAGTATGCAGTGATCCAATTATATCGTCACTATACCTGGTGTAATAGTGAGGATACCAGCACACTCTCCAGGCCAGAAGCCTTCATCTGCTTGTAGATGTGAGAAGACGTTGATCCCTTTCAGCAGAGCTTCTTGAGCTGTCCTGGATTTGGGCAAGTCAGGGAAAAATTTACTCTGCAAAAGAAAAGGGAAGTAGTAAGAGAAACGTTCCAAATTTACAGAGACCCCATAAAGGTGAAATATCCATTATATCAAATGTGTTTTTGTATTTAACCTGATCATTTTTCAAAAAAAAAAACAAAAACAAAAACAGCAGGGGGAGGCAATTAGGATTAGCAACGTAAGAGGGATGGAAAGTTTAACCTCGTTTTCCCCACCCCAACCAAAATGCTTTTTTTGTTTGGGAAGAGAGATCCATTGATGTCAATGGAGATTTTTCTTCCAGTATGTGAAATGCTTAAGGGGGCAGTTTTCAGTAAGGTCACAAACAGTCCATCTCCCAAGCCCTATCCTAACAAAGCCCTCATACGCTTATGATTTTGGTTTCAAACATTAAACACAGAAATATATGTAATGTACTGTTTGAGATTAATAACAAGCATTTTCAAAATAATGTTCTGCAACCACATTATGATTTGTAGAAAGACACTGGAAGCTGGTACAGTAGGACCTCCCTATCTACAGGATCAGTATCTGATTATTTATTTATCCACTGCCTGAAAATACTAAATAAAAAAACCCCAGAAATACATACTTATATGTATTTCCATGGTGTTTTTACCAGAACTGACGACTAAAGGGAGCTAGAGACCATGTCTTCAATACTTCCACATTTTTCAGCATTGAGAGGTGCACTTGGAACAGATCCTCCATGGATACTGCAGTCCTACTGCATTCAACTGACAGTCATTCATGTCCCTAAAAGAATCAGCAGTCCAATGAATTATAACTGTTCAGAACTTAAGTTGCCAGAATCAGAGGAACTTCTGTGAGTAAGTTCTATGCATAACAATTGTCTGAATATTTTTGTATTCATGCATAGGCACCATCTCTGTATCCTAGACATCGATGCTGGTGCTAGGCACATTAAAGCCCTATGCAGGCATCATTGTCACACAAAGGAGGAAAGACTCAAGCTCTGCCACTCTCCCTGTGATCACAGCCATCACCCTTTTACCTGAAAAAGGTGATGAGTTTAAAGACAAAGTGCCACTGCTGTTTGTGGAGGCTGTCCATGCAACTCAAACGCCAGAAAAATCAGGGTCCTGTCTCACAAGCAGAGTCTCCATGGACAATTATCTCTGCTTCATACTTGCCACCTGCTTTCACAGGTGGTGGAGCTCGTCAGCCTGGGAAGGCAACCCATCTAGAAGAAGGAAAACTCTGATTTCAAACCTCCACTGCCTTGTGGCTATATCCACTCTTGGAAAAGGCTTCAGGAGTTAACCTCAAGGCAAAATCCAGAGCCGGAGTCCCGGAGGCAGTTCATGTCATTCTGGCACCTCCTGCAACATCGCTGGAACCAGTTGTATTGGCTCTTGCCTTTCCATTGGACCATTTCAGAGATGTGGAGAGGGGGGATTTGCTGCTTGGGTAAGAGCCTGTCCTCCATATTATTTTACCCAGGCTTCATGCTCTGGAAAGGACACTCCAGCTACGCATACAGCGTTGAAGTCCTCCATACAGAGCACGTTACCATAGTCTCTCAAGACTGAAGGATGCTTATGAGTGAGGCAACACCAGAGACAGAACAAGCGTTTCTCCCCCCCCCCCGCATCATGTGGGCTTTCTATACAGATAATGACAGCTAAGTAGAGCTAGTAATGGAGACTGATCATTAGAAAGATTGCTGACTGTTCATTAGAAAGATAGCTGGCTGGAGTAAGTCCCAGCCTCTGGTACTTTTAGACATAGAATTTGAACGTCCCATAAGCCAAGTCCTCTCTACCCACACAACACATCAACTTGCAAGTGCTCAAAGTCAACATGTCTCACACAAGCCCACATCAGGTGCTCTGTGCAAATGTCTTGAAATGCTCAATGCATGTGAGCTACACCACACTCTGCTGTGGAGACTATCCTGAGAGCTGGGAGTAAATGCTTTTTGTACCTCAAATATGGTGCTCTTTCAAATCGTGAAGATTAACCCTCTCCTAAAGAAAAATGGGGCTCCCTACTACCAAACCTGCCCTGTGGGTAGGCTGTCCTGATGTGGAAGAAGTAGTGAAGTGGGGCAGAGACAGACATAAGCTGATGTTCACGACCAGATTTTTTTTTCTGAACAGAATGCAGCACAATCAAAATATCAGAAGAGATATTTCTAATGGCCCTCAAGAATCATGCTGGCGCTTATCATAGTTGCTTACGGTGTCCAAATTCAAGTAGTAAGCCTCAAGGGCACTCTGCTCGCGGTCACATTCTTCCCCTTCTGGCACATAGTACCATTTCTGCCGTCCTTTTGCACAGCTCAGTCGCCAACGGGTAAGGTCTGTCTCAGGTGGCGGTTGATATGCAAGTTTTCTTCTGTGCAGACATCCACCAGTGAGCATAGAGGAAAGAAAAGTAAATGTGGTGTCTAGCAAAGAAATGTTCACATTTTAGTGTGAGCCAAGAATAAGTCCTTCTGAAAGACATTGAGTCATCTTTCAAGGCGGGAGGGCACACAGCATATAAACAAGGCAGGCAGAGCCTTCATACAGAACTTCTAGGTTTCCTGACAATGGCATCTGTGTGACTAGGAAGGAAATAAAATGGCTGCTAGATTTTATTTGTAAATAATTCTTGAAGTGTGGGACTTTTCTTGTGTTTGTGCCATTTTTGTTTATCTGTTTTCTTATTTGCAATGCTTCACTATCAGATATTCTCATATAATAGTCATAATATGGAACTGCTAAATAATACATATTGGACCCTTAATAAATCAATTTTTCTTACCAAGGCTGGCTTGTGCACCAAGATGCAGGGCACCTCAACCCAAACTTTTGGGGGGAGGTCTCCCCTTGCTCCAGTTACAAACTTCCCTCAGTTCTTATATTGGCACAAAAGTATACAGAACCAGAACAAAAAAATACATGAAATATATGGAATATCGCATAAGCAACATATTTTGGTATGTATTGCCTTAACACTACAATCTTTACAAATATCAAAGTTGCTCTGCAATATTCAATGTGTTTCTTTTGCCTCTTTAATGTTTTAAACAGGATAATAACTGTCTTATTCAAACTGTTGCCTCATATCTAATATTTTCAGATTTACCATGCATTTCTCCAATATGCACAATACGAATTGTTTTCAACATTTTATAAAAAAACAGCCATCACCTATGCTGCAACCCTATAAACACATGTGGGAGAAAGTCTAGGCATAAAACTTGGTAAATAATTAGTCCATCTTATAATTATATTACTACATATTAAAAACTAAATCAAGTCAATCAAAGCCAAAACCAATAGCTCTTCAGTTTTAGTTGGTTGTAACACATTCAAATGTTCAAATATTATTTTACTTGGGATTTCTTTCTGCAAAATGGATCCCAAATGTATTCTTATCCTCAGCATTTTATTTCTTCAGCACTATTTGCTTTTCAAAACAATTACTGTGAAAATAATATATTGAATTCAGTGAACCCATGTCTGACCCAGTGTGCCCCACTGAGAACCTTTTGATTGCTCTATATGCACTAATTTATCCTAATCAAAATATAGAAATGTCATAAATTATACTTACATCTCATCAGACATCTCTCTTGTGGATATTTAAAAATACTGAATTGAAAGGTATATCCAAAACACTTCTAAAAATTTTCTGATTGTATCTGAGACAAGATAGGGACAGCTAGTAAAACACTGAATAGTGATCTTAGAAGATGGACATTAAAATACTCCAGTCCCTATCCAATCCAAAACCTGGGCTGTAAACAGTGTGATGACTTGGCCAATCACGAGAGTAATGTTAAGAGCTGGCTTAACAAGAAAATTTTCCATACAGGTTAGAGGCTAAAATTTTATCTGTAACTACGGTATGAAATTGCTTTTCAAAACTGGCTTGTTAAGGTGTGTTCAACATTGATCTTACTGGCGCTATCTCTAGTAATACTGTGGGAATTCTTGTGAAGCAACTTGAAACAGGTTTTGAAAAAGTTGAACTTTAAAAATTGGTATTTGTGATAGTGTGTAGGCATACAATCCATAATGACAACTGACAGCTAAACACATAAATTTCTATTTGTTTGTTGGGGGTGTTTGTTTGTTTTTGTGCTCTCTATCTTGACAGTTTTTCAGCATTTCTCTGAATTTTAAAATGTGAACAAAAAATTGCTTTCCAGATAATTTTTAGATATTTCTGAATGACAAGCAAGGCATCTGTAAGAGCCTGTTTCAATATACGCAAATTGTAAGGGTGCCTTTTCTGCAGTAATTCCCACCACCGCCCCCAAGTCAGTGTAGTCTTCTCTTGAGAACCAGCTCAGGAACAGGTATGTAGCTAGTATTTAAAACCCATTTTGAATTCCGCAAGTGCCATTTTGAAAAGAAAAATCTGCCAAGCAGCACCCTATACCAGTTTCTCGCCCCACTGATGGATCAAGGGTAGCTCCAATTGCACAAGGACTCTGAAGAAAGAAATACTGTTAGACAAGCAATATTATTTTCAGACTGCCCCCAAAAGCCATTCCCTGTTAGGTCTGGGTTGCTTAATTAAGTTTGCACATACTTCTGCCCTAGGCTTTAGGTCAATGCCTCCCAACCTCAGGGTTGGGACTCGGGACCAACAGGAGAGTCACAATATGTCTTCTGGGAGATTGCAGGGCACCTTATATGTGTTGTAAAGGTAAAGGTTCCCCTTGAAAATTAGTCCAGTCGTGTCTGACTCTAGGGGGTGGTGCTCATCCCCGTCTCCAAGCCATAGAGCCAGCATTTGTCCGTATACAATTTCTGTGGTCACGTGGCCAACGCAACTAGACACGGAACGCTGTTACCTTCCAACCGTGGTGGTACCTATTTATCTACTCACATTTACATGCTTTCGAACTGCTAGATTGGCAGGAGCTGGGACAAGCGACGGGAGCTCACTGCATCACGTGGATTCGATCTTACGACAGCTGGGCTTCTGACCTTGCAGCACAGAGGCTTCTGCGGTTTAACCTGTAGTGCAACCACATTCCTTTTTGTGTTGTAGCCCTTGTTAAATAGTTTCCTCTTTGACCTTTCAGAGTCAGATATTAAAGATAGTGTGTATCTTTCTCCCTTTGAGGAAGAAAGAAGCCTCTACTTTCTGAGAAGGGATGACCAGAACAATTTTTACAAAGAAATGAATCCCAGTGGAAAGATACTTCTCTAAAAAAGGGATTTTAACTATGACTCATCTCTTCTGGGGAGCGTAATGAAGGGGAGGAAAAGGAAGGAGAAAACCACACACACTACAAGCCTCCAGGAGGGGACACAAAAACAAGCAGCCTACTTCCTCTGCAGCAGGTGAAAGGAAAACTCTGTGCTGGTTTCTGAGGGGGATCCTCTCTGCATAAACGTTTTACCCCCCTCCCCTGATATTGCAATGTCCTTCTGGCCCCTCGCCCATCTTTGAAGCCTTGCCTTCTCTTCTTCCTATCTTTAACCTCCCCCAGCCTGTTCCCTCCCCAGTTCTGAAGTGGTGGCAGTCCACCCCTTCAGTGTTTGTAATACTGCTTCTGGTGCAGGATGACAAAAGGGAGTCACAGCTCAAAAAAAGGTTGTGAGCCACTGCTCTAGGAAGTCTCCATCAATCAAAAGATCCAATTTATGCTGGCTTTGCTGAGGCAGACTTGAGATTTGAGGCTTCAAAAGTCTTCAACCACCATCACTCACTTGCATGAACCACAGCCTCAATTCTCCCACAGGAAGAAACCATTCCTTACAAAGGTGAGGAGAGCAATAACGAGGATCATCATATTCATTTCAAATGGATAGTCGTCAAATGCCTCCTTGTTATCACATTGTGATTAATAAAGATAACTAATATTTGGTAAGTAAAGCAGCATGCATCCAGTAAGCTACTGGCAAACTTACTTACTTCCAGCATCCAAACCAATGAAATTCCTTTCTAGTAGGGATGTGAAGGTGGAAAGTTTTAGATTGCTTTTATTTCTGGTTCTTTTGTAGGACTCATCTTTTGGTTTTGAAGATCTTTAATTTTTTAAAAGGTAACTACACAACATACATGAAAGCTCAGATTTTTCCCCTAGGAACAGTGGGGGTTTTTTGTCAGAAAGCAAGGCATTTCACTGGGCGGCCAGAGGGTTGATTATTTTAACTCACTTGTGAAAATGATTTAGTTTGAATTGGTTCACTGGGTGGCAAGAGGGTTGTTTATTTTAAGTAACTTCTGAAAATGATTTAGTTTGAATTGTTTTGACCTCTGTGTAAATTGTGTCTGTGGGATTTGCCATTCCCATCACTCACTCGTATGCCATCCCTCCCACCAGCCCCTGGGTCTGTATGTGTGTGGCTGAATGAATGTGGGTGTGTCCCCTGGGAATCCTCACTCAAAAGTTTTTAATGGGAGAAGTCTGCGATCACTTTAAAAGTTTACTGAAAGACAATCCTCTGTTTGGCTTCCATGGGCTCTAGGAAACCTCTGTGGGTTTTTTCCCACCTGTAATATTGGCATACTGATATGTCAATTTGAAAGATATTTTTTAAAAAACAAAAATATTAACAATAACACAACAGCAGCAGTGGCAGTGAACGACCAGTGCAAGGGTGGGTGCAGGACAGAGCCTCAACTGCAACAATTTTAAAAGCCCATGTACCCCCTCAACTGATATACAACACAGTTTAAAAGTTTTTTCCAAGAGGATGCACCCACCCAAATACCCTGTGACTATCACATGACTTCCAAGAGGATGCACCCACCCAAATACCATGTGACTATCACATGACTTTAACCCAGTTTCAAAAACTCCACTCCATCTCCCAATTTATTTCCATAATGTAACAGAAATCTCAAAGCTATTTCACAAAAGCAGAGGAGTGAGGCAACACAACAGCGTCTGCAATACAAAAGTTATAATCAGAAGGCACTTTACATCATTAATATCTGCATCACATTATTTGCAGCATTATATAAATTAAAACCAACAGCAGCAAGAAAAAGTAAAAATGAGCTACCTTCTCTTTTGGAATCTTGAATTTCTTGTATTTCAGAGGCTCTCTGTTGTAAAGCCATAAAAGTCTCTGAAAATGAAAGAAAAGAGTGTTTTTCATGGATTTTTTTCATTTGAGTTAACCCAAAAGTCCCATCCCTACTTCCTAGCAGAAACAGTGCAAAATCTGTAAATCTTATCACCGGTATTAACAAAAGGTTCAAATGCCAGTTTAACCAGTTAATCCATGCTCTAGAACAGACCTCATTTGAAAGACATCCAAGTAGCATCAGTGTTCATAATCAGCAAGTTTGAATCTGTCATCAGTAAAAGACATTACCATTGGATGAGATGACACAAAGGTCCTTCTAACATTTATTCATGGCTTGTGGTCTATGTAGCATTTTCAGAAGTAACACTGGGGAGTCATGCTTGTCCATGGCCTGAGTGAATTCCCCTTATAATCTGTTATAACTCTGCAGAGCTGGTGTGAAGATTGGTCCCGTCTGTCAAGCAATGAACTCCATTGTGCGTCCCAAAAGAGGCAGCCTGAGTGGCTTTGGGAAAGCTGCACAGTCCCAGAGCACCCCCAGAAGAGAATTGTAATCCTCTTCTGAATGTCCTCTAGCTGGAAAACCCTGAAAAGGGTCACCATAAGCCAGAACTGACTTGACATCACACAATTATTATTTATTAAGGGATATATACTGCTCCTGCTGTTCCTGTTCTTATCTGTAACATCTTTTTCTATTCTCAGAGATGAAAGTCTGTTTATCACATGATTAACATGCTTTCAGTTCTAATAACAGGTTATATGTAACATAATAGTTTGATCTTTATACACTGTTGAAACCTTTTCCTTCACCTTTGTGTTAAATGCAATTTAGATAACACTGGTCAATCAGGTCCTTTTAAAAAAATTATTTCAAAAACAAATGATCCTGAGAGGTATATATACTAACCAGCACATGAAACAGGCAAATGTTTAAACTTATCATTTTGTTGTTGTTTAGTCGTTTAGTTGTCTCCGATTCTTCGTGACCCCATGGACCAGAGCATGCCAGGCCCTCCTGTCTTCCACTGCCTCCCAGAGTTGGGTCAAATTCATGTTGGTAGCTTCTGTGACACTGTCCAACCATCTCATACAATACTCTATTATATATTTAATTATTGCATCCAACTTGGAAAATAGGTAGCTGGTTATTTTTGCCTAGTTCTTTGGTAAATTATGATCTAATTAATTCTGGTGCTTTTCATACCCTTAGTAATAGCCCTTCTTTCAAGGTTCTAAGTGTAGTTCCTAATGTCTCCCTTTCCTCAAATAATAACATATAATGGATTGTATAGATAATTGATTATATAACTAGTACAGAGAACTAAAGGACTGGAATAATTAGGCAATAGTTCTAACAATGAAAGGAAATACTTCTAAAGCTTTGTATAGTCCATGGCAAGGAGCTTTCTACCTTGAATCATTCTCATTGCTAATTTCGGAAAATTTAAGAATAAATAAAATAATACTAGTCCTTCAGGGGGCAGTCTAAAAATATCCACTCAGTATAGGCTAGATTCTTCTCACACTCCACTCTACCTGCTCTCATACTTACTGTTCCTTGGCTGTTTTTTTTTTTTAAATAACTCTCAACACCACATTTATAAGTACAAAATTACTATAAGCACATAGAACTTATTTGGCTTTTATTGTTTAAAAGAACTGCACAGGAAAAGTCACTCTCTGCCTAAGACGGAAAATAAAACAAGGAAGTACCTAGATGAACAGTCCCATATTAGTAAAGCAAATTCTTATCTGATAGCTACAGGCTTCTGCAATTTGAGTTATTTTACCTGATCTGATAACTTAAAAAGCCTATGGACAATGACTAAATGCTCTATAGTTCAAACTATCTGGAGGGCATCTGGCAGTTTTGGCTAAGTCATCTTGGCCTGTTCTGCTTACGTGGAGGGAGGCTCACCATCTTCTTGACTTATTCCAGTTCCCTCTAAAACACATCAAAATATTGCCAGCAATCTTCTGGCAACTGAAATGTTGAACTCAAATACTGAGTTGGATGTAGGGTTAGTCTTAGGGGTGGGTAAGCTAAATTATTGTCTGCCACATTAAACTGAGGGGAGCACTGAGTTAAGCAACTATGTTTGTTAATGTCTTGTTTACAAGTTATTGGTGTATTACACATTCTCAAATTCCCCAGGCAGTCTAAACTCAACAGTATGATAGTGGAGTGAAAAATCCCCTCCAGTACATTGTAATGTAGTGCATGTTGTTGCTCCAAAGTGTATTGCATACCGTAACTCTAAGCACACACAACCACTAGCACAATGGTGTTTGGGATACAGGCCCTCAAAAGTAACTCATCCAAGTGCTGCTGGTGAGTGCTGAGGGACAACAGCCGTGGCAATTTAATTACAATTAACTTCACAACAGTATGGTTGTATGTAGAAGTAAAAATAGTAACATAGAAGTAAAACACAAAGCAAAACACCCAACCCCATCTACAAGAAATGAGGCTCCTGTTTATCTTTTTTTGTGTGTGAAATTTTAATTAGAATATAACATTACAAAACAGACAAAGTGAAAACACTAACCCATCAGTCACTACAAGACCAGGTAGACAAACAACAAAAGATAAAAGAAATAACCCAGTACTAACTAAAACAATCCCTCCCCCCTTTTTGGATCAGAGACTCCAACATCCTTTGAATCTCGGATTTCTCCAATTGGTTTCCAGTGAGAACTGAGTACATAAAAAACCAAATTTTGCCCTACACTCCTGTCTTTTTCTGGGCCCAAAAATATATTAATTTCCAGCTTTGTTTTACATAGTCTCTTGGTTGTTCCCGCAATGCTTCAGAAAATGTGTCAAGTTCTGCTATATCCCATAACTTCTTTAACAGCTCCTCTGTCATTGGCGCATAACTTCTTTAACAGCTCCTCTGTCATTTGTGTTTTCCATTTTGGGGCCCAGAGTAGCCTGGCTGCTGTGAGTATGTACATTAGACAATATTTTATTTTCTCATCAATAATTTCTGTCATAACTTATTTTCTCATCAATAATTTCTGGCATAACATTCAATAATTCTATTTCAGGTTTAATCTCTAATTTTTGTTAAGCAATTTATTTTACTATTGCCCACACCTGGGTCCAATAACTTTTGACTTTTTTGCATAGTTGTTTATAGTTTTTTTTTAGTTCTAACGTTTTAAAAGCTTTCCAAACAAGCAACTATGTTGCACTAATTGTTAGGAGATCTCAATAGCGACACACCACCTGAAATACGAAAAAAAGACTTACTTTGCTGTGTAATATTTAAAGTCTTTGCAAACTCAGAACATGGCCTTTTGCCAATGAAATAATACCACCATCATTGTAAAAAGGCAAAAAGGAACGTGCAACAAAAGCTGCCACTTTGGGCACAGCTCCACTGTGGATCCAAAGACAATTTATGCCACAAAAAAGTGTTACTCTTTAAGGTCATTTTGTACCTCTTCATTTGGGTGTCACCTGATGGAGCCTGGAGAAACAAATGACTCAATGGATACCATCGTGCTTTTGACACCTCACGAGAAAGCAAGGCTCAGCAGAAAATGCAATAATGCTCAGAAAGGTGAAGGCAATGCTGGAGCAATAAAACAAAACAAAACTCCACGGCCTTTAGTTTGCAAGATCTGGTCAGAACTATTAACGACCAGACTTGGAGGTTACTACTTAAGCGGGTTTACTTTCTTGGGCTCCATGATCGCTGCAGATAGTGACAGCAGCCACAAAATTAAAGACGCCTGCTTCTGGGGAGGAAAGCAATGACAAACGTTGACAGCGTCGTAAAAAACAGAGACATCATCTTGCCGACAAAGGTTCCGCATAGTCAAAACTATGGTTTTTCCAGTAGCAATGCATGGAAATGAGAGCTGGTCCATAAAGAAGGCTGACCACCGAAGAATTGATGCTTTGAATTGTGGTGCTGGAGGAGGCTCTTGAGAGTCCCCTGGACTACAAGGAGACCAAACCTATCCATTCTGAAGGAAATCAACCCTGAGTGCTCACTGGAAGGACAGATCCTGAAGCTGAGGCTCCAATACTTTAGCCATCTCATGAGAAGAGAGGACTCCCTGGAAAAGACCCTGATGCTGGGAAACTGTGAAGGCAAGAGGAGAAGGAGCTGACAGAGGATGAGATGGTTGGACAATGTCACTGAAGCTACCAACATGACTTTAACGAAACTTCAGGAAGCAGTGGAAGAGAGGAGGGCCTGGCGTGCTCCGGGTCCATGGGGTCACGAAGAGTCTGACACGACTTAACGACTAAACAACAAAATTTGAGACGGTCGCCGTAAATTGGAAGCGACTTGACAGGACGTAGCTGACAGAGGATGAGATGGTTGGACAATGTCACTGAAGCTACCAACATGACTTTAACGAAACTTCAGGAAGCAGTGGAAGAGAGGAGGGCCTGGCGTGCTCCGGGTCCATGGGGTCACGAAGAGTCTGACACGACTTAACGACTAAACAACAAAATTTGAGACGGTCGCCGTAAATTGGAAGCGACTTGACAGGACGTTTTTCAAAGCGAACCCCCCCCCCCCCCCCCCAGTTTCCCCCTTCAGCATTCAATGGCCATTGAGCAGGAGCGCTGATCGGGAAAGTTAAAAAGAGGACATCACCAGCCTCATCGACTTCAATCGTTTTGTGTGTGTGTGTGTGTGTGTTTAGTTTTGTTTTGTTTTTTTTTTACATTTATTCTATTATACTTCCACGGCGCTAGTCCCGAACATGGCACTTGGGAACCGGAAGTCTTTCCCTTTAAAAAGCACATTGAAAGAAAGATCCCCTTTGGCCGCTCTAATGTATTTCCTTCTTTTGTCTGTCACCTGATGAGAATCTTCTTACTTATTGGTTGACGCGTCTAGCCCTCTCTACCCACATTTCCTAACTCCATGGTTCCGGCAATGGTCTGATTATAGACTGGGAGGCAATTGGTTGTGCGCATGCGTTGTTTCCGTTTCTCACGTGGTTTCGTTACGATGGCTGTGTGATAGACAGTACTTGTAATCAACGAGGAGTGTTGGGAAGAAGAAGAAGAAGAGTAAGAGCGTTCTGCATGTGTCCCGGGGCCAGAAACGGCTGGTAACTTGGGTAACTTGCCTCACGGAGCAGTTCCTTGTGAGACCAGACCCTTGCACTTGCAGTTTAGGTAACGGGGCCCCTAAACTGCTCCGCATCTTTACACGAAGGCAAGTTCTTGTCTGTTCAGCTTGCAGCGTTGACATTAAAGTCGTCAGCGCCTCATAACATCGGGATGGAGCCCCTGAGAAACTAGACGAACAAGTATAGTCGGGCAGTGTTTACTTACTTACTTGCCTACACTCTACGTGGCACAGAGTGCGATGTGTGGTCTGAATAGTTAGAGGTCATGAGCCTATTCCGTCCTTTTTGAATCAAGAAGATGCAAGCACAGATCTTTTTGAGAAAGATGGATGCACACGTTCTCGTTGCACTTTTCTAAACATCAGATTTTTTTTATATGAGACACATGATGTTGGAGCCCAAGCCCTTACCAACTTCCATGTGCATTCATATAACGCGAGTATAGGTGGTTTTTATTAATTTTTTTGATGGTTACTTTGTTTCTGAGCACAGCCCAGAGGTTGTAATTGGATCTGGAGGTACTGGATAATTTTCATTTTTAGATTCTTTATCCCCTTTCTCTAATGTCACTTATGCTAATTAGAATGCCACTGTTTGAGATTGGAAAATGTGGCTGTTAGATATGTGGAGATAGAGAGCAAGATGGATCATGGACTGGAAGTCTTAAGTAAACGACAATGTGTTTTTTTCTTTTTTTAAAAATTGTTCAGGCAAGAAGTGAACTAGATTGCTAGTGGAAGTACAGTATTCTCTTAATTTCTCTAATTACATAAGCTAACAGATTGTTGATATTGAGATAATTAGCTTATCTTGTGTACAGGGATCCTTTGTGAATGTTGCACTTGTACTGTATCTGTTTTGCTGAGTATATGTGAGCTTGGTCACTAAATCAGCTGTAGTAACTGAATTCCATGTTTATTCAAAGCAGTTGGGTATAACACATTCTGTTCAATACCTGGATTCTGTAAGAATCTCTTTTCAGATGAACATAGCACATATTGTATTGTATCAAGTTGATTCCTGTTTATTTTCTCTCCCTGGCTGCAGATTTGAAACAGAAGTTTCCTTTGCAAATCTTGAAATGGGTGGACCTCTTATAACAGGGAAAGTGCTGTTTCCTAGTTTTGCAAATTGGATTGTTTGGTGTCAAAAACAACAACACCGTTGTAAGTTTTATGAGAATCGTCATGCAAACCGGAAGTGCGTATCCCAGCATTTTCAGGTGATGAATCTGCGGGAGGGCACTGTGGCATTGCAGGAGGGCAAACCTGGAGAAATGACATGTAAAAGTCAGAGACTGATGTTACTCACAGGACTGATATGCCCTGCCAGTCCTGGCTGCTACCATTATATGCCCTACACTGTCCGATCAATGGAAAAACTCATCAAGTTGATAGATCAAGAAATGCAGGCCATTGGGGGTCAGAAACTGAATATGCCTACCTTGTGCTCAGCAGAGCTTTGGAGAGCCAGTGAAAGGTGGGAACTGATGGGGAATGAGCTATTTCGACTGACAGACAGACACAATAAGCAATTTTGTCTAGGGCCTACCCATGAAGAAGCTATCACAAACCTCATCGCTTCTCAAAGCTATTTGTCCCACAAGCAACTTCCTCTCTTGCTGTATCAAGTAACAAGAAAGTTTCGAGATGAACCAAAACCACGTTTTGGGTTGCTGCGTGGCCGAGAGTTCTATATGAAGGATATGTACACTTTTGATGCCTCAAAGGAGGCTGCCCTCAAGACCTATGCCCTTGTATGCAATGCTTACTACAACATACTTAACCGCTTGGGCCTTCCGTTTGTTAAAGTCCAAGCTGCTACGGGAAGCATTGGGGGAACACTGTCTCATGAATTTCAGCTCCCAGCTGACATTGGCGAAGACCAGTTGATGATATGTACAAATTGTGACTTTTCAGCCAACACGGAAACCATAGATCCCAGTAAAGTGCGTTGCCCAGTTTGCGAGGGAAAACTGATGGAGAAGAGAGGAATTGAAGTTGGCCATACCTTCTACTTGGGCACCAAATACTCCTCTGTTTTTAATACTCTTGTCAACACTGCAGAGAATAAACCTGTTATGGCTGAAATGGGCTGCTATGGGCTTGGTGTGAGTCGGATCCTTGCTGCTTCCATTGAAGTGCTTTCTACAGAGGATGCTATCCGTTGGCCAAACCTCATTGCCCCTTATCAAATCTGCCTGATTCCTCCAAAGAGGGGCAGCAAGGAGGAGAAAGGTGCAATGCTTGTGGAGGAATTATATGATTCTATTGCTCAAGCAGTCCCACAACTTATAGACGAGATAGTCCTGGATGACCGGACTGAGCTCACAATTGGTAAAAGGTTAAAAGACGCCGATAAACGTGGGTATCCCTACGTTATAATAGCTGGGAAGAAGACTGTGGATGTTCCCTCTCTGTTTGAAGTAAGGAATCAAAACACTGGTGAGATATTGTTCCTTACCAGAGAGGCTATTGTTGACTTGCTAAGTAAAGTGCACACATCCTAAATACTCCTTTGTCTTGTGTTTGAATATTAAAGTGCTTATGCATTCCTTTGTCATATTTGACACATGCCAAGGGGGACCTTTGTGACTTTCACTGTTTTGGTTTAGGTTTACTTGCTCAAGGATTGGAAAGAAGGCAGGAATAATGGTTGTTTCCTTTCATGTGTGGCTTGCCCATGGAGTTCAGTGTTGGAAAGTTTCGTTTCTACAGTGAGGATGTTCTATATGAAGGATTCCTATCATCAGATTCAACAAGTCAGCCCTTTGTTACACAGTGTAATACTTCCCTCCCTGACTATTCTTCTAGGAGAAGGAAAAAGTAAGATGGATGTGAATAGGGTTAAAAACAACTCTGAAATACAGCCTTCTCAATGTGGTTCATGGAAGCAGGCCCTTACTTTTCTGTCCAGCTACCAACATCTGACATAAAAGAAGGGAAAGCTGAATGCAAAATACGAACTAATTCTTGATTTTCTCATGTTTTTCTTGGATATACCATGTTTTTGTATGTAGAATTCCCATAGTTTAACTACAGTGGTGCCCCGCAAGACGGTGTTAATTCGTTCCACGAAAATCACTGTTTTGCGAAAACATCGTCTTGCAAAATGTGGTTCCCCATTGGAATGCATTGAAATCCATTTAATGCGTTCCAATGGGGAAAAATTGCCGTTGTTTGGCAATAGGAAAACCATTTTGTGAAGCGCGGATCAGCTGTCAGAAACGCTGTCTTGCGAAAAACGGTCCTGAAAACACCCATTTTGCGAGTTGCAGACCCAGCTGTCAAAATCGTCTTGCAAAAAACGGTCCCGAAAAAAAAAACATCTTGCGAAGCACGGACCGGAACATCGTCCAGCGAAAATCGCCCATAGGAAACACCGTTTTGTGAAGCACTATAGCGATCGCAAAAACTCATCGTCTAGCGAATAAACCGTTTTGCGAGGTAATTGTCTAGTGGGGCACCACTGTACTTAACTGGACTGATCTGATGTTCTGCTGCAAGGTGAAATTAATTAAATTACATGGGAAGTCCCTAGTGATTTGAGATGGATATTCCCAAATAATATTATATGAAATATACAACTTTTAAAATATATATATACTGTACTGAATTTTTCCATCACACCAGAATGTACATATACTGTGCTTTTGTATATGGATTTCACATGGCTTAACTGCTTAACTAAACATATTACTTTTTCCAAATGGGTAAAAAAAGACCTTCCTTGAACTGAGTGTTTGTGCACTGATTTAAAACCAAATTTCAATTTCTGGCTCTACAGCCAGCATCCTGATATGGTATCATGAAACATATTCCAGACAACAAGATGGAGGTACATAAGATAAATTGTCTTCATGTCAATCTTCTGAAGAAGCAAGGTAAGTACACTGTTAGTCTACAAGCCTGACACCTAATTGCAACAGTCTTTACTGCTTTTTCTCCTTTCTTTGAAATCATGTGCTGATTCATGTCCCCCTCCAATACATATGTGACAGAAATAATGAGGGTGGAGGAGGAAAACAGCATGTCTGGTGTACCTGCCTGTTTTATGTGCCTCTCATGACCTACCCTTGCTAGGTAATGAGAACAAGCCTTCAGGGTTTTGGAAAGTGAAAGTTCTCCCTGTTTTCGACTACAGTGGAGGAATGGATCAGAATTCACAATACTGGAACTGAAAATATTTTTAAAACAAACCTACAGCTTCCCTCCTGTTGTCTCTTGCTTTTTTTTCCCTCCCCAAACTGATTTAAGATATGATGGGAGGATGGAGGCAGGAATGATGAACTAATTGATAGTGCTATTGAGCAGGACTAAGTAAAGAACAGAGCTTGGGACTAAACTCTCACTTTTGGGAGCAGTGGCTGGCACTATTCTGCCACTATATTCAACCAGTATACCCATAGTGTTCATCATCTTGTGGCAAATGCCATTGTTATCATGAGTGCCTTGAATGATGACCGAACACCTCCTTTGTGACATCAGAGAGTCACTCTTTTTGTCCATCACAAGAAATGGAATACCAAACCAGTGCCTAACTGAGCTTCTATCAAGTAAGAGCTGTTCTTGTTTCCTTCTGTAAATGATTCAACTGTGTCTCTAAGGTTAAATTCCTCTGCTTTTTAGTGTTAGATCTAGTTCCTTTGTCTTTCAAGCATTGCAGTATCGTGAATGCTAGATTGCACATAGCTTGACATATTAAGGTTCAGCATCCACAAGACCAACTTTTTCCCAAACGTATGACTTACAAGTGACTTGGATTACCTCAGAGCCAGCCACAGTGGCCCATGATCAGCAACAATAATGGCTTCCAGATGGTGGAGGCTGAGATAGGCTCACTTTGACCCTATACTCTTTCTTCTTCAGGAATAATATTGGTTGGTGTGACCACCTCTACCTGATGAATCCCCTTTAAACTGTCCTTACTTTTACTAGACTAGACTTAAGGACAAATCATAGGAGCCCAAGCAGTTTGAAGCTTGAAACAAAAATAAGATCTTTATGGAAATATAACAACTGGTAAAACTGCATAGATTTCAACTTAAGGTTACATAGAAGTACATGCCAGCTTTCACACATCAGAATGTCCACCTTTGAGGTTCAGGTACAAAGGAATACTTTCTAGTTATAGCCCTTTCTTACACATAGCTACCTCTCCATGATACAATTTATCTCTGTTTTTACAGCTCAATCTAAAATCCAACCTCCATCTATTGAGAAACAATTTAACTCTCTCTTAACTCTTTCCTCCTTCCTTGGGAAACAATTTATCTCCTTTTTCTCACCCATTTTATATTTTCCAATAGAAGTACATGCCAGCTTTCACACATCAGAATGTCCACCTTTGAGGTTCAGGTACAAAGGAATACTTTCTAGTTATAGCCCTTTCTTACACATAGCTACCTCTCCATGATATAATTTATCTCTGTTTTTACAGCCCAATCTAAAATCCAACCTCCATCCATTGAGAAACAATTTAACTCTCTCTTAACTCTCTCCTCCTTCCTTGGGAAACAATTTAATTATCTCCTTTTTCTCACCCATTTTATACTTTCCAGGCTTGTCTTGATTGGCTGTCCTTCTGCATTCTCTCAGCCAATGTGGTTCCACCACAATTGGCCTGGCCATTTCTTCCCAAGTACTTTTCCCCTCACAATATGAATTACTAATTAATTTTTTTACAAACACATCTCACTGTGTCCCCTGATGGAAGCAAATTGTCTGTTGTTAGAAGGAGCTTGAAAGATTGTGCTTATTATTGCCCAGAACTTGTTATCATTTGTTGTAAGCCGCCTAGAGTGGTCGAAATGACTAGATAGGCGGGGTATAAATACAATCAATCAATCAATCAATCAATCAATCAATCAATCAATCAATCAATCAATATTATTGCCGTAGTTTAAAAAAGGGAAACTGTGGTTATTGTTCCCATTGTTTTTTGTGAGCGTGAGGAATTAGATGTGCTGTGGCATGTCAAATTTCTGATGCAAAGTCCACCAATGAGGCAACACTGATGCGATAGATTCCTATCTCTCTCCTCCCCACACCATACAGGAACATTGCTCATGTTATGAACATCTGCCTTCAGGATTTTGAGCAACTGTATCTGAGGGTCAAGCAATGGGCCAGGATTTTTGAAAAGGAGCTCACCATGGCATGTGAATGACCTGAACAGCAGGATACCATCAAATATTTACAAATTTGTGCGGAATTGGAATTCTTCACAGTGATTCCAAAGATGGAGAAAACAAGAGAAAAGCTCGTGTCCAGATATAAAGATTCAGCTGAACTCTTAACTCAGCCATGTCTTCTGACAACCAGCAGAGAAGCATCTGAGAGCCCTCCACCTGATTTTGTGTCAGAACTCTGCATGTCACAAGCCATTCCTGAAGGTGAAGAGTGACCTCTAGGGTTTGGCATGGAATTAAGTACAGTCTAGATCAGTGAGCAATATGCACTTTGCAAAAATATACAAAGGAGAAAGTTATCTCTCACAGCTGTCCCAATATGGGTCTGATGTTATCTCAACTAATGATAAGGAAGTAATGCACAAATATGCAGTCTTCTAGCGATAGTCCTATACTGTTCTGAGTCGTGTGGAACCTGTGCTTTAAATTAAAAGAGAAAACCCTCTTCAGTTGTTTCATTTAACTTAGCATTAACAGCCCTGCCCCTCCCAACAGCCAACACAACAAAGAAGACATAATCCACAACTCAACAGGTTGCTCTCAGCTCTGCACCTTGGCAGTAATAAGGCTAACAAGCTACTCTGTATTGAGCATAGAATTGTTTTAAATGTGGTTTTAATGTTCCTAGAGGGCTTGATACATGAAATTACTTGCCCTTTATAGTTGAGAATTCTGAGTGGACAAGGTGTAAGATCACCACCAGTCCAAAAAAATATTTTACATTGTATGTGTTCCGTTCCATCAAGTCAGAACCAACTTATAGTGATCCCAGTAAGGTTTTCAAAGTAAGTGAGATGTCTCAGGAGTGGTTTTAGCAGTTCCACTCCTTCAGGCATTCGAACCCTCTTCTCCAGAGTCCTAATCCGCCACTCTAAATTCATGTGAAGATTGCAAATAAAGGATTTCTGTTCTAATTAGTATAGCCAATAATGAGGTGTGATTGTAGTTATGATCCAAGAACACTTGAAAAAACAAACCATGGGTTAAAATAATTGAACCAGAAAAAGCTGAAGCCATGTACATAGCAGCTGGACCCTTATTCTGTTCCACTTACATACCCTTTTTGTTGACTTCAGTAACCTCCAGCAAGGTCCATGAAATGATGGTGTATGACGCAGAAATAGAGAATGAGAACGTTGACTCAGGAAAAGCAGCACTGGATGATTATAATAAAAGGGTAGGAATTTATTCCTATTCAAGCACAAACTAACTTCTCTTTGCCATCATGCTTTCCTGAACTTTACTTGTAACATGGAGTACATATGTTTGCATTTTTCTGTCTATATCTGAACCTTATTGTCAGCTAGCTTCAGAACTCCTTTTCACACTGGGGATTAACTGCAAGACTAAAAACGGTGGCTGTGAGCAGTGCAGAGGAAGGGAGGGGGGAATGGAGGTCACAAAGCACCAGTGTGAACCTGGTCTCTTCTCTCACTGACATTGAAGGTCATAAATATGTCCTCCATATGATTTCTAGAACAAGTGTCAGGCTTCTAGGTTATGTGTTCACATGTCCATGCATCCACACACATAGGCGGAGAGAGAAAGAATTGTAGCCTATTTTTATGATGGCCTGGGAGTTTGTCTTCCCTTTTCCATTCAATCTTCAAGGCCCTTTTTAAATCACACGGACAATTTTCTCATTTCATTTGTACATTAAAACTAGGGGAAAGCTAGGAAAGTGAGGGAGGGAGGGTCAGCATTGATTTGTGATTACTGAGTACTAAGTTTTGACCGTTTCCTTTCTCCATTCTACACTAATGTTTTTCTCCCCACCATCCTACTTCTGACAAAGAGTCTTCCCTCGCTAGATGTACTCAAGGACCAACCACATGATGTATTAAAGCGGAGAATGCTGGCAGTCAGCTGAGTGAATATGACTGTTAACCTACCATTGTTCAACATACCACTGTAACTCCTTCACATGCCATAATGTGAAAGTTGACCCAATATGATCATACATATAAGGACTCTAAACCTTCCTTTTTTTTTCTTACTAGTGTCAAATAAGTCCCCGGGAACTGTGCTCAAAAACAAGTCGGAATGATAATCAAAAGTTCTGCTGTCAGAACCAGAAATTGCAGTTTGTTGAGCAGATAATGGTGAGTTGCATGAAAGGACAACCGATAAAGCCATCTACTTTATAAAGCACAGGATTTGTTGAAACAAACAAAATTGTTGGTGAAGTAGAATTGAATCACTTATTAATATTGTTCATACTATGGTATTCCCAGTTACTATGAACAGATTTGAAAGATGGAGAGTGAAGAAGGCTGACCAGGAGAAAATGGGTTCATTTGAAATGTGGTGTTGGAGAAAAGCTTTACTGATACCAAGAAAGACTATATAAAGCAGGCCTGAAGACTCAGTAAAAGCTAAAATGACTAAGCTGTAAGCTGACTAAAATGTGGATGTACTTTGGACATACCATAAGAAGGCAAGACTCTCTGAAAAGACAATAATGCTAGGAAAAGTGGAAGGCTGTAGAAAAGAGGAATGCTTAATATGAGATGGATTGACTTGATGTAAGCTATGTCTCTTAGTTTGTGAGACCATTGCAGGCTGTTCACAATAGTATCTTTCAAAAGTTAATTAATTCACAGGGTTGCCAAGAATCAGAAGTGATTTGATAGCACATCACAAACCAGTGGTGGTATATGGGGTCCTTTATAAGGAGAAAGGATAAAAATATTTTAAATAAATAAAACAAAAAATGTTATGGCTACTAGTGCCACCACTGTCATAATTTTCTTTTCATTATCATTTAACTCCTTCTTCTTAGAAGGACAGAAGCAATTAACAGGTCCAAAAGTGAACCAGGGCTTCTATGGAAGCCCACATAACATCCTAGAGAACTGCGGGGACAGAGTCAGGCTCATTGTTACTGTCAGCAGGGCCCTGTCACCACCACTGCAGCAACTGCCAGCTTGCTCGCTCAGGGCACCAGGTAAAGTAGGACATGGGTAAGCATATTTCCAGGACAAATGCTCAAAGGGTGATGGCACCATTTAAACAGCAATGCTGGTGAGTTCAGGAGTATTGCTTGGGCATCTTACGTGCATACGCTGAAGAAACCTACTAAGAACAGTCTGTCCAGAGGCTCCCCAGATATAGAGCCAGGCCTGTTTCTGTATCTCTGATAGATTGTTTGAGCAGGTGCATCTTTTTTCACTTTTGCATGGCGAACCAAACACAGAATACACTTTTCTACACAAATGTTGAAATAGCTGGAGCCCTTTTCTCATGTGCATCTTATTACCGTAGACACAATGTAAGAAAGACAGAAACATCCAATAAATCATTTAGGTTGCAACCTACATGATGGGATTCAAGGTCACTTCTGGCTCTGATGAGATTGAAGGCAACTGGCCTAAAATACAGAATTTGGACTTTTTTCTCTCTTTTGCCCATGCATGAAGTTATTCTATGAGGCAAGAGCTTTTGCTATTAATTATTATTTGTAAAGATAACGGGCAACTGTTAAGGCTTCTTTTCCTTGCATTTCAAATTCATAGACACAGATTGCAGCCTTGCCAATGGATCACATAGACGAACGTGCTACATCTCTGCGCTGTCAAGGGATGCTTCTTGTTGAAGACCTAAGGTATTTCTACAAGCACGCACACATGCACAGAAAGTACATCATGTGCCCATGCATGTGCTCACCTTTTAGCCTATCTTAAAAGGCTCTTAACTTGTCGCACTACGTGCACAGATTTAATTGAAACAAAGCCTGTAGAAAAGGAAGAACTATCTCATCTTGGCTAATAAGGAAAACTTACATGTTGTTAGAGTTCTGGATTGCCTTCTTGTCTATCTCAATGCATAATTGATCCTTCATATAACATTTGGGGTGTATATTCTGAAATTGTTTGATCAAGATATAGCTGTTCTGAGCAGCAGGATACACTGTAAGTACTTTGAATGAATCAATAAAATAGCCTCCTTTTATTATTTTCTAAACTGTTAGATTTTGAGTCACGTGTCGTTTGCAAACAGTTACAGTACATATTGATAGATCTCTGTCTCTTCCTTTCACTACTACCCCTTTGAGCCAAGTGGAATCATCTCTGTGGGTGAAAGAGAAGCTACTCAGCATCTCCATTGCCAGCGTCTTTGCCTTGCCCTCAGTTGACACCTTACAAAGGCAGGCTAGGAAAAAGGTCAATGTGCAGGTATTTTTTCATGTGTTGGTTGTGGGCAGATGATAATATGGACAGTGTCCTATTGTTGTATTATCACTAGTTAATATGGACAGTGTCCTATTGTTGTATTAAAATAGGATTTTTAAAAAATCACTAGCTCTTGGAAGCAGATGAAATCATATGGGCCCACTCACATTCATTATGTGAATTCTTTGTAGCTATTGTGTGAGATTCTGGCTTCTTAGTGTGGAACAGGATCTGAGGTGGGCCTGCTTCCCATGCTAGAACAAAACACATTGACCATGCTGTCCATTCATGGACAATCACCGTACATTTTAATGGGGCTTATGAGGAACAGTTGTGCCCAGAGGTGAATCTCAATTTAGTATCTATATATCATTTCACAGACATTCTGTGTTGTAGTAATATGTTATTCCACAACCTTTCTTTTTCTTTCTTTCTTTCTTTCTTTCTTTCTTTCTTTCTTTCTTTCTTTCTTTCTTTCTTTCTTTCTTTCTTTCTTTCTTTCTTTCTCAGGCATTGTATGACCAGACTGTAGAAGCTATGGAAGCAATGCTGAGATGTCTCTTATCAAAGAACCCAAATGCTACTGAACTATTAATGCTCTTAGATGTAAGAAAATGTTGTTTTATCTCTTTTACAGCCTTAAGGAACTTAATTAGGCAAAAGGGAAAAAGGTAGAAATGTATTCTCTCTTGGGAAGAAACCTGTACCTAGGTTCATAAACAGAACTTATTTTTTCTTTCTTTGAAGAATTCAAAATGTTGAATATACTGTAGTTTGAATGTATTTTTCACCCATCCACTTCTACCCCCTATGTTATCTTTATAATAACTTTCCTAAGCTACAGTGGACTAAGAGAGGGTGGTTGACCTAAAATCATCAAATGAGCTTCACGGCATTCTCAGTGAGGCTTCTTGCAGTCTGCTAAGGAAGGAGTACAGAAACAAGAATAGGTTTTAAGATTATGAAGAGCCCTGAAGCACACAGTATTTCTTTTTAATAGCACCACTCTGATCACTCTGATGGCAGAAAGTGAGGAGGAATTAAGGAACCTTGTAATGAGGGTGAAAGAGGAGAGTGCAAAAAACAGTCTGAAGCTCAACATCAAAAAAACTAAGATCATGGCCACTGGTCCCATCACCTCCTGGCAAACAGAAGGGGAAGATATGGAGGCAGTGACAGATTTTACTTTCTTGGGCTCCATGATCACTGCAGATAGTGACAGCAGCCCCGAAATTAAAAGACACCTGCTTCTTGGGAGGAAAGTGATGACAAACCTTGATAGCATCTTAAAAAACAGAGACATCACCTTGCCAACAAAAGTCCGAATACTTACACATTGTTAGAGTTCTGGATTGCCTTCTTGTCTATCTCAATGCATAATTGAGATAGCTATGGTTTTCCCTGTAGTGATGTACGGAAGTGAAAGCTGGACCATAAAGAAAGCTGACCGCCGAAGAATTTATGCTTTTGAATTGTGGTGTTGGAGGAGGCTCTTGAGAGTCTCCTGGACTGCAAGGAGAACAAACCTATCCATTCTAAAGGACATCAACCCTGAGTGCTCACTGGAAGGACAGATCCTGAAGCTGAGGCTCCAATACTTTGGCCATCTCATGAGAAGAGAAGACTCCCTGGATGTTGGGAAAGTGTGAAGGCAAGAGGAGAAGGGGATGACAGAAGATGAGATGGTTGGACAGTGTCATCGAAGCGACCAACATGAATTTAACCCAACTCCGGGAGGTAGTGGAAGACAGGAGGGCCTGGTGTGCTCTGGTCCATGGGGTCACAAAGAGTCAGACATGACTAAACGACAAAACAACAACAAAGATGACTTCAAAGAAGAAGTCTGTGGAGCCAGAGATTGGAAGTTCAATTTCTCACTGTGCCTCCATGACTAGAGGCTGGACTTCCAGTTCTGCAATTCTAAGATTATGATTTATTATAACTATCATCATATCAATCATATCATATATCATATCCTATTATTATATTATTCATGAATAAATGAAAAGTCTTGGTAATTTGAAATCCCATTTTTTTAAAAGGAAAGCATCACTCTCATTGATACAGTACTTTTGGCCATACATTATTATGAACTAGACAAGGCTTTTAATATGCAGTTTTCCTGACTTGTTTACAAAATTTTACAAGGAATCCACATGTTGTCTTCATCTTATAACCCTCTTCTGGTTTTTTATTGTTCCTTCCATAGTTTTTACTATCAAAAACAATCTAAGGCAGGAAAAACAATGGAACAGATGTGCACAGAATCTGATTGGTAACTATAAGAACCCTCCATCTGGAATCATCATTAGACAAAAAGATGAAAATAAAGTCCTAATATATCATGTAATTTCTCTTTGTTTCTAACTGCTTGCCCCACTTAACTCTATAGCATTTAGCACCCTGGATGACGTCAGGACAAGCACATGAACGGGCTCGAACAGTGAACACCTACGTTTCCCTGTTAAAATTTGCAGCTACTTGTCCCACATTTCATGTGAGTGTTTCCTTCTGCAATACCTTTGCGTGGAACCAGAGTTGGACAAATTCAAACAAGACTTAAAAACCTACTTGTTCAACCTGGAACCATAGGGGTTGACCAAGGAAATAGGCAATTAATGGGACAGAATTACTGTACATTAATTCTTATATTGTTATTATAGCTATTTTGATTGTTTGCCTTATTGAATGATAATTGCTTACTGTATGTTTTTATCATTGTCATTATTTTGTATTTTAACTGTTTAAAACACTCCTGCCATTGTTCTTTAATTAAAAAGAAATGTTCCCTGTTTCTTTTAAATAAGATGGGTGGGACATACACTGTTTTGAGGGAGACTGTGCTTACAGAGGTGTAATTAAAATAAATACTGCTGCTACAGGCTAGTAAGGGAATACATCAGTCTGGACAGAAGAGGCTAGTTTATATCCAAACATCATTTGAGTAGAGAGGCTTTTTCCTTTTCTCCTCTCAGTGTCAAAGGTTAGAACTCTCAATATCTTTGTTCAGATGTCACCTGAGTTTCCTAAGCTTGGGCGTTTGATTGGTCAACTGTGCTTGCGTGTCAATGACCCCAGAAAAGAGATTGGCCAACAGGCATATATTTCCTGTACTCCCTTATGCAGTGCCAAAAGGGTAAGGTATGATTCCCCAACATTCCATATGTATCTACATCGCAGAAGCAGTCTAATCAGAATACTTTATTTATTTAATAGCATGCCATCCTGCTGCACCGACTGGTTTGTTTTCCTAGCAACTCTCTTTTCTGTTGTATTTTATTCTATTTTATTTTATGTTTCTGCTCTATTAGTTTATGTATCATATTATTTGTTATGGGCCCTCATGTTGAGATTCACTAACAGTGACACAAATAGAGCTTTCAAGGTAAGTGAGGTATTTCAGGAGTGGTTTTACCAGTGCCACCCGTCCCATGAATTTTCATAGCTGAGCAGAGATTTGAACCCAGGTCTCCTGAGTCCTAGTCCATCACTCTATCCATTGGGTATCCCTTATATTATATTACACTGGTTTAAACTGGTTATTTGAAGCTGCTTAGAGGTCATTTATGTTAGAATACTTGATTTTTTTTTTCTAAAATGGAGAACGTGCAACCCTCCAGTTGTTATTGAACTGCAGCTCCCAGCATCTCCTTCCACTGGCAGTGTTAGCTAAGAACACTAATGGGAGATACTGTCTAAAACATATGAAGAACCATGTTCCTGGTAAAGAATACAAATAGAGCACAAGAGAAGGCAGGGTGGTTAACTACAACTCCAAGAATTTTCCAGCTACCAAAGTCACTCACAATTGTAGTCTTAAAAAGTAACTTTTTTTAGATCTGGCAACAAATCCATTCAATCCTACTTCAGGATGAGCAAGAGTAGTGTGGCTGAGTGACTGTAAGAGTAGGGGGGGTCTTGACTGAGGAACGGTGTCAGGTTGGCACAGCTTGGCTGCTGATTTTTAAAAACATTAATAAATCATGCTTGCCTTTATGTATCCAAATTATAGATCTCTCCTATTAATCTGACAGCAAATGGACAACAGGACAATTTTTTAAAAAAAAGAAAGCAAGAATTACATGGGAAATAAAAATGCCTCTTTTTTCTGAATAGGCCTTGAAATGGAAACTGATTCCCTGGAAACAGAGCATCACCAAAGGTACAAAGAGATTCCGGGTACCTACAATCTTACTAGGCCTCATCAAAATATCACTAATATTATTAAGGTAACTCTTCAGTGCTGGGTGTGGAAAGTATGGGAAACCTGCAAATTAGTTGGTTTCCTTAGTACTACTCAATGGCTGGAATCCTGTACATGCAGGTGTAATGTAAAGGTACACCAGCAAAAGCCTACATTGCAAATTAGATTCTACAGTCAATAATGTGGCTCCTGCTTCACCCAATCCATGGCATATATGTGGAAATGCTTTGTGAACAGCACTTTCGCCCAGCCATGCTTTTCCTTAACACTGCCACAACTTTGTGTTGCACACACAGAATTATGTGATAGGATTTCAGTCATAGCTTTTAAAAAGAAACAAATAATAACATTATTATTATCATCCCTTCATAGTGATATTTGGGGCAATGACTGATACCTCCTGTAACCCATACAGTAATTCACTAAGGCTGTAATCCCTGTACATGTACCCTGTACACGTATTTAAGATGGTTAAATGCCATCAAATTCAGTGGCATCTCCAAGATGGCATATATACCCTGTTTCCCTGAAAATAAGACCTAACCTGAAAATAAGCCCTAGTATGATTTTTCAGGATGCTCGTAATATAAGCCCTATCCCCCAAATAAGCCCCAGTTAGGTGAAACCCCGCCCTCCACCATTGTGCAACAACTGTATTTGAATAAATGTAGATGGTTGTACATGAGGAAAAATTTCCCTGAAAATAAGCCCTAATGCATTTTTAGAGCAAAAATTAATACTGTATAAAACTCTGTCTTATTTTCAGGGAAACACGGTAGAATCAGGCTACAGCTAAGATTCATGTCCATTTTTGGTTTATTAAATACAAACTAAACAATCTATAGCATTGTTCTATCCATATCCATATGTTTTTGGGGAAAAATCTCAGAACTCAGTTGAATCGACTTCTTAGGAAACATGGATTTGGTGCTAAATAAGGCCTTTATCCAGAAATAAGAAGTATTCAACTCTGCACATGTCAGTGAACTCCCAACAAATCTCACCACTGGCCAGGCCAGCTAGAACCAGTGCTGTAGTCATACCACCTCACAGGAGGTCAAAGCACGGGCACTATGTTGTTTGCATACAGGACCCTTGGGTTTGCTCACTGTTGACTCTGTTAGAACATCGCCTCCGCATCCTCCCATCAGGTAGCCATTGGTTCATGTCTCTTCAAAGTGGCCTCTCCTTCAAAACCCTTTGCATCTTGTAGTGATTTTCCCCCTCATTTCAGACTGCTTTCCCCTTTGGGTGTGAGAGGAATCTTGCCCTACCTCACATTCTGTCCAAGGTAGAGGGAGGAGCCAGCTCATTACCTGCCTACCTGCCTGATTAGGATGGCTTTGGTGGTGTCTAGGTTTCTGTTCTCTTTGTCAGCGCATGTGCAAAAGGTGTTAACTAAAACCAAGAAAAGGAGCCATCCTGCAACTCACTCATGGGGCAGCACGGAAAAATTCGCTTCTACTTCTCCCCTGCCCAACTTATTGTGTTTATGTGTCTTGCAGTATCCTACTGCTGAGACCAGGAGAAGGAGTGGGCAGGGTAGAGACATAGGAAAACCATGACAGCTACCACTACCTCCACATTTCACAAGCCATGCAAGAAGAAAGTGTGGTCTCAAGATAGCAACTTCTCCTTTCCTTCCCTATGTATTCCTGCTCCCCCCCCCACTTCCCATAGTTCTAGCTAAGTCATGATTTAGAGCATGTGACTGTGCATACATGCATACTCAAGGACCAAAGTGTGTGTGTGTGTATGTCTTGTGGAGGGACCTCATCCTTCTCAATTTGCAACGACACTACTAGCTAGACTGATGGAAGTTGGAGCCCCAAAACACCTACAGGGCCATAAGGGGCCCACCTGCCATCTTAGAATGAAAATACCATGTAGCTTAAGTCTGCCTTATAATTCTCTTCTCAGCTGTGTTCCTAGCAGGACAATCCACAAGATGCTGCTTCATGTGTTCTCTCTTAGGCGTTTGAGCCACATCTCACCTCAAGACAGACGACAGAGCTTTTATTGACTGCTCTAGGCTGCCTCAAAGAAGCCAATAAACACACCACAGCAGCATCGCATACTATCACATCTGCCATCATGAAGTGTTACAAGCACAAATTACAAGAACAGGTAGTAGCCTTTGGCAGAAGGAAGGGTGACAGAAGCCAAGCAGTGACTGAGGCAGCTTTTTAAAATAGTTGCCTCTAATGTCTTATGTCCTGAGGGATATTGCCAGTGGGTCCATGGTGAAGGACCATTGTTCTTTTTAACATTGTGCTGCCAGCAAGGCACTGTCAGGGCCTGCAAGATGTTTCTCTTTGCTTTTTCTCCCTTGTGGCAGTACCTTAAAAATGATTAAGTGGCTCAAGACACCTGCTCCAATCTTAGGGAGAAACAAAATGGCCAGAATTCTAGTGTACCTTTCCACCAGTATAATGTGAAAAAGGGGTTTTCCCACAGCCCTGGTGTAACAAAAAGGTCCGGCCTAAGATAGCAAATGGCGGCTCCCACTGCTAGTGCATCAAGGCGTTTAGTACCCAGAGCCAACCTTATTGTTTTGGCGCCTTGAGCAGAAAATCCCACACAGGCTTCTTTCCTTCTCTGAGTAAAAACACAACAGCATAATAATATTTTATTGCCTTTTCAGTGTTGGAGATAACTGAGTACAGCTTAGCTTATACTGGAAAAGATAGCTGTTTTTGCATGGAGAGAAGTAGACAGAGAAATTAACCTCCTCAGTTTTCCTGGATTGCCCTTGACATTTCTTACCAGAGGGGAATGCGTACTCTGCCAGCCATTACTGTTTTCAGGGGCTGAATCTATCAGTTAACTTTTCTGTTTGCTCTGCTGAGGTTTATGATGCCCAAAGCCAGATGAGTCAGTAAGCTGCTTCCATGCACAAAAGATAACCGTAAATACTTTTCTTTGTAACATTCCAGTGTATACTTTGCATATAGTCAACAATGAAAGTTTATACTTTGTAATATGGCCCCAGCCCCATGCACTGCTTACCTCTAGCAGGATGTTTCATTTAAACATGCTTGTTTTCTTCAAGGTTCCGGATATTGTGGATCAGGTCCACCAGCAGCTTAGTTTTGTCTACAGGTTCCGGGACAGGCAAATAATGATGAGAGTCATATCCCAACTGGCTCATAGCTACATGGCAGAAGTGTGTGGTGCCCTTCTACAGGGTCCTTTCCCAATGACCAGGTACATCATTCCATGATTCCTAGGGTAGGAAGAACTCATACTGACTAGTATAACTTCTGCTTTTCAGACACTCTTAGGAAGAAATAGGATTGTCATTACACCCTGCTATCAGTTCTACTTGAAATAGGAACAAACAAGGCTAGTCCTAAAGATGCTTATGGCTGACATTGTTCTCAAAAATAGCTGAGGATGCTCCCAGACATAGATCTCTTATCGACCAACCAAAAGCACTGTGTTCCTGCTTCACCTTTTCAGCACTGGCCCTCCCTGACGCAGAATGATTTCCAATGAGTTTGCTCGCTAGTAAGAGTCAGTTATCTTTCTTTATTAGAACTCTTAGTACTGATTCTTGGCATTATATGATGGTTGCTTAATCACTTACGATGGATGGGATTCTAACTCCACTCCATCACTATCATTGATCTCGAAGGATTTTCTTGAGGTCCAGACAGTGTGTATATGTGAGACAAAGTCATGAATATACAACCTTAAAGTACCTGGTTTCTTTCCCTCCTTTAATTTGCAGGTTTTCAGCTGAGATATGGTGTATGTTGACAAAAACATGCTCTGACTATGAACTAACAGTCTTAGTGAAAGTGCTACTGAAAGAGCTACAACTGAATCCAAAGGCCACTGGAAACTATATTACACCTCTGGCTGTAAGAAGTTGTTCAAACTTTCTAAATCATTTGTTAATTTTAAAGTGAACTCCCATAAGGGAACAAAGAGGGCAAGCTGCAATATTTCTTCTAAAGCTTCTGTGTAAGGGCCACTTCAGATGTCATACAAGCCCATGAAGGATGTAACATGTAGTGTGTGTATATTGTTCACATCATGATTTCCTCTGAAACCTTGGGAGTCTTGGAAGGGACTTAGTTGGATCTGTTCCAGTCTGGTCTCAAGCCAAGTAGTCAGCCCAATTGGGACGGGTGGATTGGAAGAGTATAGCCTCATTTTTTTTCTGGTAGGTGGGAATCTCTTGGTGGCATTCCGGAGTTTTACCTGAGGAAACCTATTGGGGGATCTGGCTATGTTGTGTGTGTAAGGCATAGCATTACAGTGGTCCCAGGCCTTATTTGGCGTACAATCTCTAACGGTGATGTTAGGTCTTCTATTGCACCACACAAGATGTCACAAGGTTCTATTTTGTGTTCCATGTTTTCAAACATTAAACTAGTAGGGAAAGTCCTCCGGAGATTTAGGGTGTAGTTTATTTATTTATTTTATTTCTATCCCGCCTATCTGATCATATTAGACCACTCTAGGCGGCATTTAGGGTGTAATGTCAACAGTATGTTGGTCATTTATTTATTTAAAATATTTTTACCCCACCTTTCTCCTTGAAAAAGACTCAAGGCGGCTTACAACAATGAAAGACAGTATTTAAAAGTTGAAAAATATGAGTATACAATGGTGGTTAATGTCATTAAAAGACGATATTTAAAACTACGAACAATTAATAAGGAGTCATCTTACAAAATTAACAGGCAATATTAAGGCAAAGATCAATGTATACAAAAATTTAAAAAATGTCACTCTGAGAAATGGAAAACACAAAAATGGAAAACACTAGTACAGTACTACTAAAAATCCAGTCAAGGCAGCAATATATAATAATCTATCACTGTACTACTAAAAATCCAGTCAAAGCAGCAATATATAACAATCTATATAAAAATCACGCCCACAAAGGTAGCTGGTTAATCAAGAGAAGGCTTGCCTGAAGAGAAAGGCTTTTGCCTGCTGGTGGAAAGGCAGCAAAGATGGGGCCAGCCTCACCTTTTGTGGGAGGGGGGTTCCAAGGTTTGAGAGCAGCAACAAAGAAGGCTCTCTCCTATGTCCCCAATAAGACACGACTAGTTTTTTATTTCCACTTGCAAATCTCAGGGATACTGCAGAAACACTGAATGGAAGTCTGAAGCTCATATTGGTATGGATAAGATACAGACAAGGCAGAGGACTGGGGGAACAATCTGTACAGAGGAGTACAACCTGTTCTGTCTGGGGTTGCACTCCCCCTGAACGACTACATTTTGGGGTTCTTCTGCATTCACTGATGCCTGCAGAAGTCCAGCTGGTTAAAACCAGGAGTTAAAAAAACAGGCTGATATGTCAGCTATGAATCTATCTAGGGAAAGCAGACTTAGCCATAGTCATGCATGCACCAATTACATCCAAACTAGATTAGTGTAACGGTGGGTGGCAGGAACAAGGTTGTCCAAAATTGCTCCAGGAGAAGGATGACAGGGATTATCTGGATATGATGTGAATTGCCAAAACAGTTTATGAGATTTGACAGCTGCCTTTACTGGGCTGACAGCTGGTAATGGTTTTTTATATCTGAATTTTAATATTGATTAAGGGATTTTCATTCTGCAGTTTGTACAAACATGTTATTATATTTGTCATTGAGGCCAGAATCCTATTAGATATGCTGACAAGACTACAACCATTAGTGTAAACTTTTAGTAAGAAAATGCTACATATTAAGAAGTCAAAGTAAGCATTTTTATTGTACACCAGTGACATCACAATGCACTGGGATACCAGCCATTTTAAAAATCATGGGTAATATTGCTATTTACATGGGAGGGGGTGTTAAAGTATTATAATTATTGCTTGTTTGCCCTACATATAATAAGGCAATATTTGCACCCTGAATGCAGTTTTATTTATGGAAAGATGGAATATTAATTAAAGTCTAATCTAATATGCCCTACATGGGGTTGTCTTTGCTAGTGTCGTAGAAACATCAGCCAACACAGCATAGAACTGCTTAGGTGCTAATTAGAATCAGAAGATGGAAGCACATTATATGGATTCTGTGCCACCTGCATTAGTAACCTGCATGGTTTACATGACCTTTGAAAATCCTGGCTGAAGGAGCAGAAAGATTGCTTTTAAATGCTTAAATGTACTTATCCTCCACTGCCAGCAACACTGAAAAATACTGCTTCGTAGCATCCCTTTAAGACTGTTCAGATTAGCAGTTGTTAGATACAAGGGCACTTTCAAAGGATTTGTAATCTGAAATGCAGTATGTATATACAGTTATACACCTGTCTAAAAAACAATATGGTGGTGTACCATGCTTCCCATGTAGAAATTTTCGTATGATTCATGATCTGGAAATGGCAGGTCCCAAATAAGGTAAATAGGCTTGAGGCAAGATTATCTAGTACTATAAGTGCAACTTGGCAGAAAAATGAATGAGGTTTGGCTCTGAATGAAAAGGGCATGTGTGAGGTCATGGTTTGGGTATTGTACTGTGGCTCAGAAAATGTGCCTTCAAATCCCCATTCAGCCATGCAGCTAACGAATAACCTTGGGCTAGTCTTATTCTCTCAGCCTTGAGCGGTAGGCAGGCAGGCAGGCAGGCAGGCAAGCAGGCAGGCAGGCAGGCAGGCAGGCAGGTAGGTAGGTAGGTAGGTAGGTAGGTGGGAAGGAAATTTCAGACTAGAGTAGAATAATTACACACACACACACTGTAGCAGTGATCTTATGACAATATATCTTTCCTTCTCACAGGCTGCCAGTGCTTTTTGCAAGGTGCTATCCATGCCGAAATGTTCAGATGTGGCACTCTACATCTATCCCCAGTTGCTGATGGCATTGCTTGTTCAGGTGCACTACCACATTAGACACAACTCAGTTGCTGAGGAGGAATGTGAGCCCGTGAGGTAAATATAAGTGAAGCAAGATTGTAGTGGCAGTGGCCAAATACCTGCCTGATCCTAGGAAACACTGCATTATATTGATATGCTTTCATGTACTCCATTCTCATAATAAGAATAAGATAGTGATGGTGATGAACACTGCATTATATTGATATGCTTTCATGGACTCCATTCTCATAATAAGAAAAAGATAACAGTGGTGATGATGATGATGAAAGCTAAGATCCTAGGAATTAGTGTTAACAGCAAATGTTGACTCTGCCATGAAAAGGAGGAAACTGTGTCACACCTCATCTGTGAATGTCCAAAGACTGCACAGATTACAATATTAGACGTGATAGAGTGGCAAAGTTAGTGCACTCGTCATTACGCAAAAAAAAAAACTTGCCAGCCTCCAAAAACCCATGGGAACATCAGGTAGAGAAGGTGTCAGAAAATGAGGAAGTCAATATCTTGTGGGATTTCTGGATCAAAACAGATAGACACCTTGAACATAACACACCAGACATAGTAATAATACAATGAAGAAATGTCCAGATCATTGGCATTGCAATTCCAGGGGATTCCAGAGTTGAAAATAAAGAACTGGAAAAACTAACAAAGTACAGAGACCTGGCAAACCGTGCAAGACCCTTTGGAAATGCAAAAAACCCCAAAACAAAACAAAAAACAAAAAAACACCCCCCCCCAAAAAAACCCCAGAAAGCAAACAAACCATGGAAGATCCTTCGGAAATGCAAAAAAAGCAAAAC